GCAACCAAGGTACATGCCCTTGATCGGAATCGAACCTGGGACCCTTCAGTCTGCAGGCCAACGCTCTATCCACTGAGTCAAACTGGTTTCAGCATAACAAAGTATTTTAATTAAAAATAGGCTGGGCATAAAGAAACAGAGATCGATGGAATAGAGCTCAAAATTAGAACCTAGGCTCTCCCTCCTGGAGCAAGCCTGTGCCTTTCCCTTAAGCTCCAAGGGCCCTTCCTTTACCTCTATAACTTGTTTTATAAGCCCATTTTCCCCTACAAATAACTTCTTGTATTTCTTATATTCCAAATAAATGTTCTCTTATAGTTTGAAAAAAATCAGAACCATAAATATACTATAATCTGATATAGTATATAACATTCAGAACAATGAGCAAAGATGGCTTGTTTATTTATTTATTTTAAATATATTTTATTGCTTTTTTACAGAGAGGAAGAGAGAGGGATAGAGATTTAGAAACATCAATGAAAGAGAAACAATGATCAACTACCTCCTGCACACCTTCCACTGGGGATCTGTCAGCAACCAAGGTAAATGCCCTTGACTGCAATCGAACCTGGGACCTTTCAGTCTGCAGGCAGATGCTCTATCCACTGAGCCAAACCAGTTAGGGCAGATGGCTCATTTATTTAATAAATATATATGATATCTGCTTTTCCATAGGTACTAAAATTAAATCTACTTCAATCTCAAAAATCAAGTTTAATTATATTATGGCCCAAAATATAAAAGAAAAATGTTTCCAAGACAATTTGAGAGTATCCATATGATTTTGGAATAGAGAAAGGTTTCTTAAAACAAAATATCAAAAATATAAACTATAAATATATGTATAAGTGATGACCTTCCTAAAAATGGGCAAAAGACCATAGAGAAAATCCAAATGGCCAATATAAATATAAAAATAGGGGAGGATCCAAGATGGCTGCTCGGGTAGACATCTAACCGCGGCAGCACACAACAATTTCAATGGAATACAACTAAAATGTAGAGTGGACATTGCCCAGAGCTACAGGTAGTCGACTGACTGAAAATTCTACAACAAGAAGGAAAGAGAAAACCAGAAGGAAAATCAGAGGAGCTGAAAAAAAGCCTAAGGTACAGAGACATGCTGCGCGCCCGCCCGCACGCGCGCATGAAGAGGTCGCAGCCGGAGAGGAGGAAAGGGCTGGGTGCTGCTTGGCGTTCCCTAGCAGGAAGGAAATAAAACCCCCAGCCTGGGCTGAACCCCCGAACCAGCAGTACTGAGCCCCAGTTATGGGCCAGACCCTGGGGACCCAGGCTCCGGCAGGGGGAGATGGGGCTGTGAGGCGGAATCCCAGGGGAGCAGCAAAAAGCAGGGCCCCTGGAGTCGCACACACATTGCGCGCAGAGGACTGAATGTTAACTCTGATGCTGGATTACCCTAGCCGGAAGAAACAAAGCCTCCGGCTGTGTTGAGCCTCAGTCCGGACTGCTCCGAACCCCAGTTCTAGGCCAATCCCTGGGGACCCAAGCTCAAGCAGAGGGAGTCGGGGCTGTGAGGTGGAGTCCTGGGAGAGCGGTGAAAGGCCGAGCCCCCGGAGTCGAGTCGTGCACATTGCTTGTAAGGGAAGGAATGTTGACTCTGATGCAGGATTGCCCTGAAGGGAAGGAAACAGGAGCCCCAGCCGTGTTGGGCCCCAGTTTCGACTGCTCTGAACCCCAGTCCTAGGCCAGACTCTGGGGACCCAGGCTCAGGCAGGGGGAGACGGGGCTGTGAGGCGGAATCCCAGGGGAGCGGAGAAAAGCGGAGCTCCCAGAGTCGCGCACACTGCGCGCAGAGGACAGTCTGTTGACTCTGATGCTAGACTCCCCTAGCGGGAAGGAGAAACTTGACTGGAGGAACTTGACGAGGAGCAGGAGCCCCTGCCGGACACCGGTCAGCCGGGCACCAGCAAGGAGCCGGGTGATGGGGCCCCCAGGGGCGGGGGGTGCCCCAGAGCCATCGACCGCTGAGCGCGGGCAAAGGAGCCAAGGCTGGGGGCTGCTTCCTGGGAGGCGCCGTCAACAGCAACAGGCTGAAGCAGCGCAGGAGCCCGCGGAGAACAAAGGGGTGCCGCAGGCCAACCTGCTGAGCTCCCAGGACAAAGAGGAAGAAACCAAAGAAGTTCTCAATGTGAAGAAATCAAGTGAGAGCAAAAGATAGTAAAATTACTTAAGAAAGAATACAAAAAAGTTCTTGAAAAATCAAAGACTAAGTCAGAACTCAACTCAACAGCCAACATTGCAACATAAATGCGTTTTTAAAAAAAAGAAAAAGAAAAAAAAAAAGGACAGAATGTTGGAACAGTGGCGGCCAGGCCTAGAGTGGCCAGGCACAAGGCAGTGGCAGCCAGGCCCGGAGCAGCAACGGCCAGGCCCCAGAGCAGCAGCAGCCAGAACCAGAACATCAGCAGCCAGCATTGGAGCAGCCAGACCTGGGGCAGTGGCAGCCAGGCCTGAGGCGGAGGCGGCCAAGCCCAGGGTGGCCAATCCAGGAACAACCAGACCCGGAGTGGCCAGGCCCAGAGAAGCCAGGCCCAGAGCAGCCGGGGTGGGAGCAGCCAGACCCAAAACAGCAGTAGCCAAGCCCAGAGCATCCAGGCTGGGAGTGCCCAGGCTCGAAGCGGCCGGGCCCGGGGCAGCCGGGCCCAGAGCAGCTGGGTCGGGTGCGGCCAGGCCCGGAGCAGTGGCTGCCAGGCTGGGAACGGCCAGGCCCGGAGCAGCAGCTGCCAGGCTGGGAGTGGTCAGGCCCAGAGCAGCAGCAGCCAAGTCCAGAGCAACTAGGTCGGGAGTGGCAGTGGCCAGACTCGGAGCAGCTGGTTGTGGAATGAACCAGAGCAACAGAGGCCAGGTCCGGAGCAGCCAGGCCCGGTACAGCTCGCTCCTCGCCTGCCCCTGCCCCAAGGCTGCCTTTCAGACATGGCTGGAAACTTTTGCAGGAACTTGAGGGTCTGCTGAATCAAGTGATGAAGGCTTAGATCTGGATGTGTTGAGTTAGTATAGGGCTGGGATGTTGATCTGTGAGTGCCTTGGGTGGGGCCTGAATGAGGCTAGTTGACCTATTTGGAAATGTCTTTTGTGTGAAGTGTATCATTGGGCATGTGGAGGTATTATTGATATGAGAAAATGCTAAGTAACTGATTTACTATCTGAAAAGGGATTTACTATCGGGGAAAGGGAGGGAGGAAGAGACTGAACATAAACTGTGCACCTATGGGGGATGGGGAGGGGGCTGAGGGTGGGGTGGGAACCTGGTGGAGGGGGGAAGAAATGAGGAACCTTTGTAATAATATGAACAATAAAGATTGATTTAAAAAAAGAAAAGAAAGAAAGTAACATTCTAGCCGAAACCGGTTTGGCTCAATCGATAGAGCGTTGGCTTGGGGACTGAAGGGACCCGGGTTCGATTCCGGTCAAGGGCATGTGCCTTGGTTGCGGGCATATCCCCAGTAGGGGGTGTGCAGGAGGCAGCTGATCAATGGCTCTCTCTCATCGATGTTTCTAGCTCTCTATCTCTCTCCCTTCCTCTCTGTACAAAATCAATAAAATATATTAAAATAAATAAATAAATAAATATAAAAATATACTCAATTTCTTTAGTAATCAAGAGAATTCAGATTACAAATATAAATAAATAATATTTTATACCCAGAAGGTTAGCAAACATTTTTTTTTAACTAGTCTATTCCAAGTGTGGAACAATGAACAACCTTACACACAAGTGTTAGAAATATAAATTAGTGCAAATACTTTAGAAAATAAAATAGCATTATCTAGTAAATTCCTGGCTATGTCCTCTAAATGAACTCCAATATATGTGTACTAGCAGTCACATTAGATAGGTTCATAACATTAACATAAAATTGTAACAATTCCAATGACCTTAAATTGATCAAATTTAAATGGAATATATTACATTTCAGAAGAAAAAATATTCAATGAACCACAGAAACTAAAAATCAGTAGGATGAATCTCAGTAATACAATTTTAAGTTTAAAAAAGCCAGAATTACATACACAATTCTGTTCATAAAAAGTTGAAAGTAGGGATATATGATACAACTATAAAGAAAAGCCAATCCTATATGATAAAAGAGATAATATGCAAATTGACCCTCACTCCAGCACACAAGATGGCTGCCCCCATGTGGTCAAAGATTGCCACCCCCTTGTGAACACAAGATGGCCAGCAAGGGAGGGCAGTTGTGAGCAATCAGGCCAGCAGGGAAGGGCAGTTGTGGGCGATTAGGCCTGCAGGGGAGGGCACTTAGGAGAAACCAGGCTGGCAAGGGAGAGCAGTTAGGGGTGACCAGGTTGGCAGGGGAGGGCAGTTAGGGGCTATCAGACCAGCGGGGGAGTGGTTAGGGTTTAATCAGGCTAGCAGGCAGAAGCGGTTAGGGGCAATCAGGCAGGCAGGTAGATGAGCGGTTAGGAGCCAACAGTCCTGGATTGTGAAAGGGATGTCCAACTGCCCTTGAGGGGTCCCAGATTGGAGGGTGCAGGCTGGGCTGAGGAACACACACACCTACCTATGCACAAATTTGTGCACAGGGCCTCTAGTGGATTATAAGCAAAGCTGATTCTCCAATGAGGGGTAAGAACGAACACAGGTATGAAGTGGTATATCATTGGGCAGAGGCCTGTAAGGGCCTAAAATGGTGCTGACAATCTTCTAATTCTTATAGAAGTGGGCTTATGGGTTTTTTGTTCTAATACTATCAGATTAGGAAATATTGTTTTAAAAGACTAAGAGAGGCTTATGAAACTGGGAAGAAACTGGACTCAGAGAATATATAAGTGAGTTGGGGCAAAATATTAAAGGAGAGACAGTTATGAATAACAAATTGGGAGAAAACTCTAAAAGGCCCTGAGCTTCTACTGAGACCTAGAACATTTGAGAACATGCCAACAAAGAAAAGTATAGGGGTGACACAAGCAAAGCTATACCCTGCAAAGATTTTGCCTGCTAATTCTTCTTCACCCACCTGAACACAAGTCTTTTGCCAGCTGTTTCTTCACCATCCAGGGCTCTTTTCCTTGTTCCAACAATAATATCACACTTGGCTTAGAAAAACAAAGTCCTGCATATATAAATAGAAACAGAATTGGTCATGCTATGGACATCCCAGAACTTACATCTAATCTTTTGTTCATCTGGGAAGAGACATGTATTCAAAGCATAGGGAAAATGAAGCTTCCAACATAGGTTAATAATAGACCTATCCATGCCAACTCCACAAATATTTAATCACTAGAGACCTGGTGCACAAAATTTGCGCATGGGGGGAGGAGGGGTGTTGTTCAGCCCAGCCTGCACCCTCTCTAATCTGGGACCTCTCAGGAGATGTCTGACTGCCTGTGGGATTGGGCCTAGTCTGGCAATTGGACATCCCTCTCACAATCTGGGATGACTGGCTCCTAACCACTCACCTGTCTGCCTGTCTGATTGCCCTGAACCCCTCTGCCTTCCTGATCGCCCCTAACCCAATCTGCCTGCTGGCCTGATCGCACCTACCTTGCCCCCCTGCTGGCCTGATTGCCCCTACTTTTCCCCATGCTGGCCTGATTGACCCTACCTTGCCCCCTGCCTTCCTGATTGCCCCTAACATTGCCTGCCTGCCTGATTGATCCTAATTGCTCTGCCTGCCTGATTGTCCCTAACTGCCCTCCCCAGCCAGCCTGATCTCACTCCCAACTGGCCTTCCTTGATAGCCTGATCTCACCCCCAAATGTCCTCCCCTGCCAGCCTGATCATCCTTAACTGCCTCTGCCTCCATCACCATGGCTTTGTCCGAAAGGAAATCGGACGTCTGGAAGATGGTGGTTGACACAATCTAATTAACATATTACCCTTTTATTAGTAGAGATAGATTATATAGGATAGGATTGCTTAAATGGAGAGGGAAGTCTTTTTCAACAGGAGGAGGTGCTTTGGCTGACAAAAACACATAATCCCTATATTTGGACTGATAGCCAGCCATATGCACTGTATTGCAAAATCAGTCATTAAAAAATTTAACCACTTTCTTACACTTTACACCAAACAGCTATTGCCCTTAAAAACCTCTCCTCAGCCTGCCTTCATAGTTCACCCAGATTTGGTTCTAATTGGTCAGTTCTTATGTCAGCGTCAAAAGCTCCACCTCCTAGACAGCAATTGGCTCCTCACACTTCATCCAGATTTGGTTCTCTTTTTGGTCATTTTTTATGCCAGTCAGCATCTTTGGGCCTATCTCCAGGCCTGATCATAGAGGCGAAGTTAATCAGCAGCCACCCCAGACTGCTGGCTAGCGGGCTGAACTGCTGACCTCTGGGAGAAATAGAAAGACTTGGCTGCTGGTGACACCCTAAGAGAGAAGTAGGGTCTGATCATCCTGCTTCTCTATGGGCCTCGCCAGCAGCCACTGCTGCTGCTGATTAGCCCCACCTCTCTCTGAGAGGTCAGCAATATAGCCCACTTTCCTGCTGTGTGCATAGCCTGGCATTCAGTGGATCCTCTGGTTGTTGTGGATGTTATGACCCTGGTTTTTTATATATATTATTTGGTACAAGCATCACACATTCAACCAAGCACTGCAGATGCTATCCAAAAAATCATAATGGTAAAGTCCTGGAAGAGGGAAGGAGGGAGTGTGAGAGAGTGAGCGAATGATAGAGGAGTGTGTGAACTTATGTGGTGTGTGTGTGTGTGTGTGTGTGTGTGTGTGTGTGTGTACGTGTGTGTATGGAGCTAGGGACAGTTAGATATGCAGGTCTTCCAAGGGGCTGCCAAACTGGGCAATCTTAGACAATGGTGATATAGCAAAAACACCATGAAATGTTTCAACAGTAGACTAGAAGAAGCAGAGGACCGAATTAGTGAGTTAGAGGATAAGGTAGAGAAACAAGCTCATTCTGAACAGCAATTGTAGAAAAAAATTAAAAAGCAGGGGAGCCTAAGGGAACGTTGGAACAACACAAAATGAAGTAGCATACACATAATAGGGCTGCCAGAAGGACAAGAAGAGCAGCAAGGATTAGAAAATCTACTTGAAGAAATAATGATGGAAAACTTCCTGGATATGGAAGAGAAAAGTTACACAAATACGGAAAGTCCCAAGTAAGATGATTCCTAAAAGACTCACATTAAGACATGTCAGAATTACAATGGCAAATGTTAATGACAAAGAGAGAATCTTAAGGGCTGCAAGAGAGAGACAGAGTTACCTACAAAGGATCCCCCATCAGATTATTAAATGATTTCTCAATAGAAACACATCAAGCTAGAAGGGAATGGAAGGAGGCATACAAAGTGTTGCAAAGCAAAGGACTGAATCCAAGAATACTCTATCCAGCGAGACTATCAATCAAAATCAAAAGTAAATTCAGGAGATTCTCAGACAAAAAAAAAAAGGCTAAGGGAGTTTATCACCACAAAGCCAGCAATGCAGGAAATGCTAAAGGGAATGCTGTAAAAAGAAGAAATAAGAAAGTAAAAAGAAACACAGGCACAAAAATAGAAATGACTATATACAAGTACCTTTCAGTAATAATTTTAAATGTAGCCGAAACCGGTTTGGCTCAATGGATAGAGCGTCGGCTTGGGGACTGAAAGGTCCCAGGTTCGATTCCGGTCAAGGGCATGTACATTGGTTGCGGGCACATCCCCAGTGGGAGGTGTGCAAGAGGCAGCTGGTCGATGTTTCTCTCTCATCGACGTTTCTAGCTCTCTATTTCTTTCCTTTCCTCTCTGTACAAAATCAATAAAATATATTAAAAAAATAATTTTAAATGTAAATGGACTAAATGCTCTATTCAAAAGACATTGAGTGGCTAAATGGATAAAAAAACAAAACACACCATGACTCATATATATGTTACCTACAAGAGACCCACCTCAGAACATGGGACTCACACAAACTGAAAGTGAAGGGATGGAGAAATATCTTTCAGGAAAATGGAAATGAAAAGAAGCTAGGGTAGCAATACTTATATCTGACAAAATAGACCTCAAAGTGAAGGCCATAACAAGAGATAAGAAGGGCCACTTCAGCCGAAGCTGGTTTGGCTCAGTGGATAGAGCATAGGCCTGCGGACTGAAAGGTGCCGGATTCGATTCCAGTCAGGGGCATGTACCTTGGTTGCAGGCACATCCTTGGTGGGGGATGTGCAGGAGGCAGCTGATTGATAATTCTCTATCATCGATGATTCTAACTCTCTATCCCTCTCTCTTCTTCTCTGTGAAAAATCAATAAAATATACTAAAAAAATAAAAGGAAGAAAGGCCATTTCATAATACTAAAGAAATCAATGCAACAACAGGGTATAATCCTGATAACCTTTTATGCACCCAATGTAGGAGCACCCAAATACATAACAACACTCCTGGAAGATATCAAGGGAGAGATCTATAACAATACAATTATAGTAGGAGTCTTTAATACACCACTGACATCACTGGATAAGTCCTCTAGACAAAAAAATCAGCAAAGATACAGCAACTCTAAATCACTCACTAGATCATATGGACTTAACTGACATCTTTAGAGCATTTCACCCAAAAGCCACGAAATATAGGTTCTTCTCAAGTGCACATGGGACATTTTAAAAAATAGACCACATATTGGTCACAAGCAAAATTTCGCCAAATTCAAGAAAACTGAAATCATACCAAGCATCTTTTCAGACTACAATGGCATAAAATTAGAAGTAAACTACAACAAAAACATTCCAAAAAACTCAAACACTTGGAAGCTGAATAGCATGCTATTAAATAATGATTGGATTACCAATGAGATCAAGGAAGAAATTAAAAACATCCTGTAAACTAATGACAATAAAAACACAACAATCCAAAATCTATGGGACACAATGAAAGCAGTCCTGAGAGGGAAGTTTATAACTCTACAGGCCTACATCAAAAAAACAAGAAAAAATGGTAGTAAATCATCTAACTCTACAACTCAAAGAATTAGAGAACAACAATGAAAGTCCAGAGTGAGAAGAAGGAAGGAGATAATAAATATTAGAGCAGAAATAAATGACATAAAGACCAAATATATATATAGAAAGGATCAATGAAACCAAGAGCTGGTTGTTTGAAAGGATACATAAGATTGATGAACCTCTACCCAGACTCACCAAGAAGCAAAGAGAGAGGACTCAAATAAACAAAATCAGAAATGAGAGAGGGAAATAACAACAGACTCCACAGAAATACAAAGGATTATTAAAAAATACTATAGACAACTCTACTCCAACCTACTAGACAACATGGAGGAAATGGACATAGTTCTAGAAAAATATAACCTTCCAAAACTCAATCGGAAAGAATCTAAACATCTCAATAGGTCGATAACTATGGAAGTAATTGAAGCAGTCATCAAAAAGCTCCCAGCAAACAAAAGCCAGGGGCCAGATGGCTTCAAGGGCAGTTATACCAAACACTCAAGGAAGAACTAAAACCTATCCTCCTCAGACTTTTCCAAAAAATTCAAGAGGAAACAACACTTTCAAGGCATTCTATGAAGCCAGCATACCCTAAGACCAAAACAAATGAAAGAGAATTATAGGCCAATATCCCTCATGAACATAGATGCCAAAATCCACAACAACATTCTACCAAATCAAATCCAGCAATACAGCAGATAGAATCATATACCATGACCAAGTAGGATGCAAGAATGGTACAATATCCGCAAATCAATAGACGTGATACATCACATAAACAAATGAGAGATAAAAATCACAGTCATATCAATTGATGCAGAAAAAGCATTTGACAAAATCCAACATCCCTTCTTAATAAAAACTCACAGCAAGGTGGAAATAGAAGGATTATACCTCAACATCATAAAAGCCATATATGACAAACCCACAGCCAACATCATACTCAATAGACAAAACTAAAACCATTTCACCCTAACTTGTTTGACTCAGTGGATGGAGCATTGGCCTGTGGACTCAAGGGTCCCAGGTTCCACTCGGGTCAAGAGCATGTATCTTGGTTCTGGGCACATACCCAGTAGGGAGTGTGCATGAGGCAGCTGATTGATGTTTCTCTCTCATCAATGTTTCTAACTCTCTATCCCTCTCCCTTCCTCTCTGTAGAAAATCAATAAAATATATTTTAGAAAAAAAGAACAGGGATGCCCACTCTCACCACTCCTGTTCAACATAGTACTGGAAATACTAGCCATTGTGATTAGACAAGAAAAAAAATAAACGATATCCAAATTGGAAAAGAAATAAAACTGTCCTTATTCACAGATGACATGATACTGTACATAGAAAATCCTAAAGACTCCTTCAAAAAACTAACAGACTTAATAAATGAATTTGGCAATGTAGTAGGATAAAAAATTAATTCCAAGAAATCTATGGCATTTCTTTACACCAGTAGTGAAGTTACAGAAAGAGAGACTAAAACTGAAATCCCATTTACCATTACAACAAAAAATTAAGATACCTAGGAATAAACTTAACTAAGGAGGCAAAAGATCTGTACTCAGAAAACTACAGGACACAGAAAAAAAGAGATCGAGGAAGACATAAACAGATGGAAGAACATATCGTGTTCATGGGTTGGTAGAATCAACATCATTAAAATATCTATACTACCCAAAGCAATCTATAGATTCATGCAATCCCCATTAAAATACCAATGGAATAGTTCACAGACCTAGAATGAACTATCCAAAAATTCATCTGGAATAAAAAAGACCCTGATTAGCCACAGTAATCCTGAGAAAGAACAAAGTAGGTGGGATCTCAATACCAGATATCAAGTTGTATTACAAAGCCACTGTTCTCAAAACAGCATGCTACTGGCACAAGAACAGACATATCAATCAATGGAATAGAACAGATAACCCAGAAATTCATCCAAACCACTATGTCTAATTAATATTTGACAAAGGAGGCATGAACATACAATGGAATCAAGACAGTCTCTTCAATAAATGATGTTGGGAAAATTGGACATATATATGCAAAAAAATGAAACTAGATCACCAATTTACACATACACAACAATAAACTCAAAATGGATAAAGGACTTAAACCTAAGACAGAAAACCATAAAAATACTAGCAGTGAAATCTCAGATATATGCCAAAGCAATCTCTTCACTGCTAGTGCTCTAGAGCAGTGGAAACTAAAAAGAAAATAAACAAATGGGACTACATCAAAATAAAAAGCTTCTGCACAGAAAAATAAAATAAAAAAAGCCCGCTGCATGGGAGAACATATTTGCCAATGTTATCACCAATAAAGGTTTAATCTCCAACATTTACAGGGAACTCATACAACTTCACAAAAGGAAGATAAACAATCCAATAAAAAAACGGGCAACAGACCTAAATAGAAGCTTTTCAAAGAAGACGGAAGGAAGGCCAAGAGACATATGAAAACATGCTCAAGTCACTAATTATCTGAGAGATGCAAATAAAAACAATAATGCAGTACCACCTCATACCTGTCAGAATGGCTATCATCAACAAATCAACAAACGACAAGTGTTGGCGAGGATGGGGAGGAAAAGGAACTCTTTTGCTCTGCTGGTGGGAGGCAGCACTATGGAGAATAGTATGGAGTTTCCTCAAAAAAACTAAAAATGGAGCTCCCATTTGACCCTGCGATCTCACTTCATGGAATATACCCCAAGAAGCTAGAAACACCAATCAGAAAGAATATATGCACCCCTATGTTCATAGCAGCACAATTCACAGTAGCTAAGATTTAGAAACAGCCTAAGTTCCCGTCAACAGATGAGTCAATTAAAAAACTGTGGTATATCTACACAATGGAATACTATGCTGCGATAAAAAAGAAGGAATTCTTACTATTTGCAACAGCATGGATGGAACTGAAGAGCATTATGTTAAGGGAAATAAGCAGGTCAGAAAAAGATAAATACCATATGATCTCACTCTTTTATGGAATAGAATGAACAGCATAAACTGATGAACAAAAAAGATCGAGAGTCAGAGAAGCATCAATCAGACTGTCAAACCTCAGAGGGAAGGTAGAAGAGTGTGGGGGTAAAGGGGAGAGATCAATCAAAGGACTTGAATGCATGTATATAAGCCTAACCAATGGTCATGAACACCAGGAAGGTGAGGGCATGAGTAGGGGTGGGGTGAGGCTGGGAGGGGGGTAATGGAGGAATGAGGACACATATGTAATACCTTAATCAATAAAGAAATTTTTTAAAAAGAAAAAAATCATAATGGTGGTAGCAAAGGATCCCTTATGAATAAAAGCTTAATTCTTACCCAGTGATACCAAGATCCTGTAGTTCTCCAACATCACATTACTGTACAGATGCCTTTGAGAAGAATTTAGACAATCCCACTCCTCTTTGGAGAAGTCTACAGCCACATCCCTAAAGGTCACCAACTCCTGAAGTGAAATAAGTGAAAGTAAAATAACCTCATCTCTTACCACATTTAACTCATTCATTTTGCCCAACCACAATGGGGTCTTCCTGATATTACAACCTCAAATATGTAAAGCATGATTCTTCTCAGGGCTTTTGCACTTCCTAGATCATTCTGTATAAAAATATCAATGCTCATGTCCCAGTTCTCTATTCACAAACCCTAGTTATTTTTCTCAATGGCACTTAAATTTTTTGTTATTTATTGTCTGTCCTCCACTTCCACTAAAATATAAGCTCCAAGAGGGCAAAACATATTTCTCTTTCAGCCACTGCTATATTTCCAGGTACAGATCAGTATCTGGCACAGGTGAAGCATTCAAACATGCACTGAATAAACTGAATTAATAAATGAATGGTTTGAAAAGTTTTCAAGACCTGTAAGAGGATTAAAAGTGGGACCAGAAAGTATTTGCTATATCTCTAAAAAATGTGGTAGACCACATTAAAGTTCAATACTTCAATCAAGAGAACCTTAAATTTTATGTAAAGAAATAGGTGTTCCACTCATTATACTACTTCTGCCTAAATGGGTTGGGCAAAGTTCTTATAAACTTTCAAGTCATGCTGTGATTCAGTTTGGTTCCAGATTTCTATAATGTGACCACTTGCTGATGAAATTAACATTCATTGTGAGTGTGTGAGTGTGTGTGTGTAAAATATGTTTGTTTTTTACAAAATTGAAAGAGGTAAATTTGTCATGGCAAGAAAATATTTCATTATTGGCCTTTTGAAATAATTTTGTTATAGTTAAAGAAACTCTCTCTGCCAAACATTCCTGTTAAGAGTTTGGTTCATATTGTCTATATACTTTCAAAAATGTCTTTTTTAAGTTTATATAAATACAGGATGTCCCAAAACAATATATACACACTTTGAATAGTTATAAAATCATTTTCAAAATTTAAAAGAATCTACAGAAATGAATAATATTTTTGTCCTATGCCTATTTTGAAACTAATAACTGATGATAACATGAAGCAATGGAATTACAAACAAATGAGCCATTTTATTTGTAATTTATGCCACAGAAAGATACCTAGTTTTATGCCTCATGAAGTCAGACTATATCAATCACACTATATCCCTCATTTCAGTTATCACCAATTCCTGGTAGATACCAAGTTTCTGTCATTCCTTGAACACATGGCTCACTGTCACTCTTCCCAATGCTATTCCTGTTATAATCTTTGGTCATTTCAATATCCATAAAATAATCCTCAGCCTGGCCTCTCAGTTCTCCAACCCCCTCTCCTTCAATAATGTTGTTCTCCACATTTCTAAAATCCAGCTTCTGCCGAAACTGGTTTGGCTCAGTGGACAGAGCGTCGGCCTGCGGACTGAAGGGTACTAGGTTAGGTTCCGGTCAAGGGCATGTGCCTTGGTTGCGGGCACATCCCCAATAGGGGGTGTGCAAGAGGCAGTTGATTGATGTTTCTCTCTTATCGATGTTTCTAGCTCTCTATCCCTCTCTCTTCCTCTCTGTAAAAAATCAATAAAATATATATATATATTTTTAAAAATCAAGCTTCCATCATAATGCCCCAGACCTTGTCATTACCAAACCCTCCATAATCTTAACTCTTCAACTCTGACTTCCCATCTTCTTTATTTTAACTTTTGTTCTATGATATCCCAATTAGGATAATTTCTCACCCCAACAGATCCCAAAGATCATTGATCCTGCCATGTTTTCACTGCTCTTAATCCCTGCATACTCTCACTTCCTAGCACAACAATTTGTTATAATCAACTTTCTTGCTCCTTTCTCACCTGGTTTAACCACAGCCATTTCTCAGTATATACTCCATTTCTGTACAGTACACAGGTAAACTTACAGGAGAAAATTATACCAACCATGCTAATTGGTCTCACTTTAAAATCATGATCACTAAATTCAAGGAGGCCAAAATGCTACCTTCACAATATATTTTTCTAGTTCATTTATTCTACTATTCTCCTAAATGACCACTTGATACTTTCTCCTTTCCTCAAATCTGTGATTTCTCCTCCCCCATCCTTATTCTTAGTTGGTAATTTTATGTTCTATTTCACTAAAAAGAATAATAATTTTAAAAAGCCATTTTAAGAGAATTTCCACAAATGCATACACTTCTATCTGCACCGGCACCTATATACTCTAACTTGTTCCATTACTATAAATGAACAGCCTGTCTTCCTAGCAAATGCCAATCTCTCCACTTATACACTAAACTTCAGCTCCTCTGACCTACTCAAGTACAGTGTTCCAGCAATTCACTCCTTTCACTTTTTCACCTTTAAGTTTCCATTTCTATGGAATCAACATCAGCCTAAGACATATACTCATTTTGAAAAACTTTGTCCATGCCAAACCAGTTTGGCTTAATGGATAGAGCTTCAGCTTGGGGACTGAAGGGTCCCGTGTTCGATTCTGGTCAAGGGCATGTACCTTGGTTGCAGGCATATCCCCAGTATGGGGTGTGGAAGAGGCAGCTGATCGATGATTCTCTCATCGATGTTTCTAACTCTCTATCTCTCTCCCTTCCTCTCTGTACAAAATCAATAAAATATATTTAAAAAATAAATAAATAAATAAATAAATAAATAAATAAAATAAAAAACTTTGTCCACCATTTCTCCTTCAGTCACCACCCATTTCTCTTTTTTTGCTTACAGTTAAACTATTTTATAAAGTTGTCTATACTTTTGATTATTTCTATCCCCACCATGAAGAGGAATGACATAATATAAACGGATCACTTCAGTTGCTCTGTTGAGAAAAGACTAGGAGAGAGTAAGTTAGGAGAGAATAGCAATTATCTAGTTGAGAGATGATGATTTGACCAGGAACAAGAAAGTGTTGGTATTAAAAAGTGGTCAGGCCTTAACCAGTCTGGCTCAGAAGATAGAGCGTCGGCCTAGGGACTCAAGGATCCCAGGCTCAATTCCGATCAAGGTCATGTACCTTAGTTGCAGGCACATCCTCAGTAGGGGGTGTGCAGGAGGCAGCTGATTGATGTTTCTAACTCTCTATCCCTCCCCTTCTTCTCTGTAAAATATCAATAAAATATACTTTTAAAAAAGGTGGTCAGATTTGAGATATCTTTGAATGTGGAAGGCTTCTTGCATCAGCACTTGAAATAAGGAATGTGTGAGTTTCCCAGCCTCTATCTTTGTCACATTAGTTTTAGTACCAGTAAGATTGACCCTATTAAAATAAGAATCAGATCATTTGATTCCTTTGCTCTAAAACAGTGGTCACCAACTGGTGGTCCGCAACCAGTGGTCTGTGAGGTCCAAAGGTTGACGACCACTGCTCTAAAACATCCAAAGGCTCATTTCACACAGTTGAGGTGTCTGAGGTTGAGGTATCTAGTATATAATCAAATGAAGATACTGAGTAAGTAGTTGGATATACAAGTTTTTATTATAGGAGAGAAGTCTGGTATACAGTTTGGAAGTTATTGGCAAATAGATGGTATTTAAAGCTATGAGACAGGATAAGATCAACAAAAGAGTGACTGTAGACAGAGCACAGAGGAGGACCAATGGCTAAACCCTTTAGTTAATAGATGGTTATTAAAAATTTGTTGAATGAATGTTTATGTAGAGACTAGAATAAAGAAGTTGGTCTGTATCTGAGGGAACAGCAAGTGTAAGGTCATGAGTTAAGAATATATCCAGCTCACTACAAGTAAACTAGTGTAGCTGGAACCAAGTAAGTTATAGACAGGGTGAGAATAATTAGATGAAGTCAGAGGGCCAGATTATGTAGAGCTTTGTTAGCCAAGGGAAATACTTCAGCATTTATCCTGAATGGGTGAGAATCCATTGAAGAGTTTTAAGAAGTAACATTAATTGATTACACAGAAAAAACTTCAGCAGAAGAAAAATTAAGGTCTTGTTTCAAACAGCAGAAAAATATTTCAGGAAAAAACACCAACTCACCTGGTGCATGGTTTTAAGAAGGTCAGCGGCCATTCTATCCTTTTCTTGGCTCTTCTGTTGGGAAATAGCAGTGTTCTTAGATGACTAAGATGGGAAAGAGAACATGAGAAATGAGGTTTTTCTTGCAGCATCCAGAATCACCAGCCTAAAGGTTTGCTGCTTCTCTCTTTCTATAAAGAGAGGAGCTCCTGGCTAGCATCGCTCAGTTGTTAAGCATGAACCTATGAACCAGGAAATCACAGTTTGATTCAGGGTCAGGGCACATGCCTAGATTGTGGGCTGGATATCTGGTATGGGCATGCAGAGGGCAGCTAATTGATGATTCTCTCTCATCATTGATGTTTCTCTCTCTCCCCCTCCCTTCCATATATATATATATATATATATATATATATATATATATATATAATTTTTTTTTTTGAGAGAGAGAAGCACATGCAGCCACTATGGAAAGCAGTATGGAAGGTCCTCAAAAAAATTAAAAATGGAACCCCCATTTGACCCAGTGACCCCACTTCTAGGAATATATCTCAAGAAACTAGAAACACCAATTAGAAAGGATATATGCACCCACTTGTTCATAGCAGCATAATTTACAATAGCTAGGATTTGGAAACAGTCTAAGTGCTCATCAGCAGATGAGTGGATTAGAAAACTGTGGTACATCTACACAATGGAATACTAGGCTGCAGTAAAAAGGAAGGGATGCCTACCATTTGCAATAGCATGGATGGAACTGGAGAGCATTATGCTAAGGGAAGTAAGCAGGTCAGAGAAAGATAAATATCACATGATCTCACTCACTTGTGGAATATGATGAACAACATAAACTGATGAACAAAAGCAGATCCAGAGATAGAGAAACATCGATCAGACTGTCAAACTTCAGAGGGAAGGTAGGGGAATGTAGGAGATAGGGGAAGAGATCAACCAAAGGACTTGTATGCATGCATATAAGCCTAACCTATGGACACAGACAACAGGGGGGTAAGGTCAAGTGTTGGGGTGGGAGACAGGGAGGGAGAAGGGGCTGGGGAGAGGTCAATGTGGGGAAAAGGAGACATATGTAATACTTTGAACAATAAAGAATTTAAATTTAAAGAGAGGGGAACATAATGGATACCTGGGGGTTTATTAGCATAACCATTTAACCCATGCCTAAATCACTTCCTAATTTATTTTCTTAACAATAGATTTTCTAGACTTTGTAAATAAAAACTCCAAGTAATATAATCATTTATAAAAGACAACACAACTAATAAATAACAACAACAAGGTCAACTAAAGATATTCCTGTTCCTTACTCCACAGTCCTCTTCAATAGATCAGTGGTGGCACACAGTCTCGACCTCCAAAGATACTGATTCTTACAAACGGCAGCCTCAACCACCATTTTACAGACATCACAGTCAGAGACCACGAGTATGGACACAGTCTCTGCCCTCTCTCCCTTGCCTCCAACCTCAAATATTAAAGTGTTACAACCGGTGGTCTCGCTCACAGCCCTCACGGAGCCGAGGGTATGGGAACCAGGGGCAGAGAACACTCTCCCACCCCTGCTCACAATCTCACTCTCCCAGACACCAACCTCGGACTTATCGCACCCACAGTCACACAAATACGATGTGTACCGCACATCGAGTGACAGTCTCACACGGCACCATAGCAACTACCATGTCACACAGAGGAGCCCGGGCCCCACGGCCCGATGACTCACTGACCACTCCTCAGCCCACTTCCTACCTGCAGAACTGAACCTTCTCCTCCCTAAAGCTCAGGCAATTCCTAGAGCACCTGGTGGAACACAGCCCCTGCAGCCGGAAAGAAGGGACAAAGAGGTCATGACTAATGCTCCTGGTGTCCACTGGGAAATGTAGTCCAGACCAGGAAAAAGCCTGCAGTAGACGCTGCGAAGTCCCACTGCAGCGCACTTAGGATTCCAAACGTCATCCCCAGGTCGTCTTAGCTCTGGACCTCGGTACAACAGGGACTGAGCCAAGTTTCACACTAGATGGCTTAAGACTAAAGTGCGTGGCCGCCAGGTCCCCAACCCTTAGCAATCCCGGGCTGAAGAATTTAGAACCCAAGATAGCCAAAGGACGTAGGGTTTGTATGGGCTGGCTCTAGTCGTTTACACAAAATGGGAAAAGGGATTGTTCCTAGAATTCCGTAAGGAAATCCCTCCCCCAAAAAGTAGGTGGGTGTGTGTTGTGGGAGAGGGAGCAGAGACTAGAGCATTAGTTCGCTGCGACCCTTTAATACAGTTCCTCATGTTGTGGTGACCCCAAACCATAAAATTATTTTCGTTGCTAATTAATAACTGTAATTTTGTTACTGTTAATGAATCATAATGTAAATATCTGTGTTTTCCAATGGTCTTAGGCGACCCTGCTAGCGGTTCTCAACCTGTCGGTAGCGACAGGTTGGAGAGCTGCTGTGAACCACTGGACTAGAGTGTGCAGGTGTATTATACTTCCTCCCAATCCCTGCGGGATTCTAGTCCATGGAACAGCTTACCTTGCAGATGGGGGCTTGAAGGGGAGGTTGGGGCAGTGAGAGTGGGGATACAATAGAAAGCATAACCATTTGCATATGGTTCTGCTATTTGTGATTTAGTGATGATGGGAGTGAATGTGACCCCTCTTGTTACATGGGCCCTCTGCCAGGTATCTTCAAATTTTCTACATTTAGACAAAAATCTCACATTTCTTAAGAGGCTTTACTTGATCACAGTTCTCCCCTGGGACTTCATGACTCCTTAATGTAACTAACTCTATACCCCCTTAGAACAATAGTATTTCTATTTTAAGTTTTTTATTTGTTTACTAGAGGCTTGGTGCATCAAATTTGTGCACTGGGGGTGGAGGATTAAACCCTCAGCCCAGCTTGCACCGACCCCTCGGGGGGTGTCTGATTGCCCCTGGGGGATCGGCCCTAAATTGGTAGTTGGACATCCCTCTCACAATCCAGGATTGCGGCTCCCAACCGACAACCTGCCTGCCGGCCTAATTGCCCCTGAACACTCCCCTGCAAGCCTGATGGATGCCTAACACTCCCCTGCCAGCCTAATTATCCCCAACTGCCCTCCCCTTCAGGCCCGATCCTCCACAACTGCCCTCTCTCCCCTGAAGGCCTGGTTGTCCCCAACTGCCCTCCCCTGCAGGCCTGGTCGCCCACAGCTACCCTCCCCTGCCGGCCATCTTGTGGCAGCCATCTTTGACCACATGGGGGTAGCCATCTTGTGTGAGGGTCAATTTGCATATCACCTCTTTATTATATAGGATTATTATATATGATTGTCTACCCATGAGTCTCTGTCACCAGACTGTAATTTTATGAGTTGGTGCAAGACCCTTTGATTCTGTCATTGTATATGTCATTCCAGCTTTCTGTATGTATGTATGAATATATGTGTGTGTGTATTCCATATGTCTATTCCATATGTGTGTGTTTCTATGAAAATAACTATATAAAACTCTATGTGTTGAGGTGGGCATGCTGTGTTTCTGTGGCCATGTGATAGTGTGTTTGAGATTTGAGAATCTGCTGTAATAGAAACAGACATACTGGTTGAGAGTGGAGCAGGAGTGTGATATGGTGGTATGTGAGAGACCATGAGGTTAGGTAAATAGATGTCTGTTTATGTGTGGACTTCTTCTCAGTGGCATCTGATGAGGAAGCACCCACAGAGTGCATGATGCTCTTTGAGGTGCTCAGACAGACACAGAGAAAACAAACTTTAATAATTTGCAAATAGACTATTAATGAATAGAAGTGCAACCTCAAGAGGCATGTTAATGCATGTGTAATTAGATAACAAATAGAAATCTCAATCCATAGAAGGGAATAAAGAGTACCAGAGACAGGAACTATAGGATATACATGTAAGACTTTTTTATTTAAACCAAGTGAGGTTTAAATAATAAATACAAAATTAGCACTCAGAAATCGATTGTTAGGATATATCACATATGGAAGTAAATTGTATGAAAGAAAACAAAATAGCAGAAAATCCAGGAGAGGAGAAGTAAATGGAAGTAAACTATTGTAAGTTCTTATATCCTATAAGAAGTAATATAATGTCACTTGAACAAATACTGTGATACATGAAATACTCAAATTCAAAACCCTTAAGCAACCACTAAACTAACAAAAGTTTAGAGAAGTGAACAAATAACAAATGAAAAGCAAATTACAGGAAGCAAGATTTATATTACTCAACATATCAAATATAAATGATCTGAACATGTCAATTAAGAGGCACTGAGTGTGAGAATGGCTTAAAAGAACAACAGCAACAACAAAAAATATAAACAAAAAACCCACATACAATTTAACACATATGTTGCCTAGAAAAATGTCACCTTAAATGTAACTTAAACATTTAATATTGTAAGACTAGAAAAAGATACATGCTCATGCTATGTAAAGAAAGCTGGAATGACTTTGGTTTTGAGAATGGATTTCTAGATGTCATACCAAAAGAATAAGCAACTCACATACTCACAAAAATAAACTGGACCTCTTCTGAATTAAAAACTTGTGTGCATCAAATAACATCAAGAAGTGATCTACATTCACTAAGATAGACCATATGTTAGAACACAAATCTCTACAAGTTCAAGAAAACTGAAATCATATCAAGCATTTTCTCAGATCATAGTGGAATGAAATTAGAAGTCAACTATAGTAAAAATACTCCATGATATTCAAACACATGAGGACTAAACACTTATTAAACAATTAGATCAATAAAAAAATAGAAAACTTCCTGGAAATAGATGAAAATGAAAACACACAGCAAATCAAAATCTCTGGGACACAGCAAAAGCAGTCTTAAGAGGGAAGTTCATATCACTACCAGCCTACCTCAAAAAACAAGACAAATTAACTACAAACTATTTAACCCTACCATGTAAAAATTATAAATAGAACAACAAGAAAACCTCAGAGTAAGTAGAAGGAATGAAATAATAAAATTAGAGCAGAAACAAATTGTATAGAGACTAAAAAAACACACCACACAATATAAA